TGAAGAGGACTTGACGCACTTACTGATGAAGATCAAAGACTACAGCCTTCAGTATGGATTACACCTCAACATAAAGAAAACAAAAATCCTCACAGTTGGACCAATAAGCAATATCATGATAAATGGAGAAAATATTGAAGTTGTCAAGGATTTCATTTTACTTGGATCCACAATCAACACCCATGGAAGGAGTAGTCAAGAAATCAGATGACATATTGCACTGGGTAAACCTGCTGCAAAAGACCTCTTTAAAGTGTTAAAAAGGAAAGATGTCACTTTGAGGACTAAGGTGCGCCTGACCCAAGCCATGGTATTTTCAATCACTTCAAATGCATGCGAAAGCTGGACAATGAGTAAGGAAGATCGAAGAAAAATTGATGCCTTTGAATTGTGGTGTTAGCGAAGAATACTGAATATACCATGGACTGCCAGAAGAATGAACAACTCTGTCCTGGAAGAAGTACAGCCAGAATGCTCCTTAGAAGTGAAGGTGCCGAGACTTGGTCTCACATACTTTGGACATGTTATCCAGAGGACCAGTCCCTGGAGAAGGACATCATGCTTGGTAAGTAAAGTGGAGATTTATCAAAAAAGAGGAAGACCCTCAATGGGACGGACTGACTAAGTGGCTACAACAATGGGCTCAAACATAAAAAACGTGAGGATGGCGCAGGACCAGGTACTGTTTCATTCTGTCGTACATAGGGTCGCTATGAGTCAGAATCAACTTGATGGCACTTAACAAAAACAACAGCATGTGTGTGTGTGTATATATGTATTATGTGTGTGATGTGATATATATACATGTAACGTGTGTGTGTGTGCAATACCAGGACATAAATAGGATTTTTTTCCCCCCATTAACTATTCAATCAAAGTGAGACTTGTTTGGGAGAAAAACAGGTTCTTTTCCAAAAATCTCCCTTCTACCTTGGAGAACCAATTATTGAAAACCAAAGTACTGCTAAAGAAAAACATCTAGCAAACACTTGCCCAATTCTCCAGCAACAAATGTTGACAATTAAAATTTACAAAAAGTTAAGGAAGCTACTTAATTAATAGCCATTTCCACATCATTGGCCTAGAGTTATTCCTTTTTCTTATAAAAATCAACCATTAATGTAAGGAAAGCATCAAGGAGATACATGGCAACAGGGATAAAATGTCATTCTGGATTTGCTAGATTTTTCAGGTTTTCCAGAGAATTAGCAATAGAAACTTTGAGGGAAAATTAACGTTTAATGCCAGGATTATTCCCCCTGCCGTCAACTTAATAGTTCAGAAACTTTAAAGATGTTGGGGACATCAGCCAAATGTTCACCACTCTGCCCTTCCTACCCTACTCCCCAATTCCGTCCAGTCAGAATCAACCCACATTAAGATGGGTTAGATTAGCCCACCTGGAAACTACCTGAGAAGCAACCATCACTGGCAGGCCAGCAAGGCACTCCATATATAACCTCTCAACCCCCAAGTCTACCGATTTCTAGGGAGTCTCTCCTAATTATGTGCTAACCAAGTTGTTTTCTCCACTTGAGGGAAAAGAGGAAGATAAAGAAGAAAAGACATTCAAGAATAAGAAACCAATCAGCTCAGCTCTGCACAGAATCCAAAGAGCAGGCCATTTAATATGAATGTAAGGACCTCAAGTCCACACTAAGGACTCAAGATATGAAATCACAACAGTTTTCTTTTCTCTTTGACAATGAGGGAGAGCTGAATCATCTCACCCTTGACTCCTATAAAGTCTCCAGATTCTGGAGTCTGAAAGCCTTCTAGTTGTGAAGGAAAGAACACCTGAAAAGTCCAGGTTCTAACCCCAGCCATGGGCACTAAACCTAAGCTGTGTTTGAAATATTTAAGAGGAAGGCATTCTTAGAAAGAGCGTCTTAATCCCACCTGGTGTTAGACTAATGAATCTGCAATATTTCTTTCTAGAATGAGAGGTATCTCAGTCTTCCATGTTAATTTAAGATAAGGAGGAGAAATCGAAATGATGCACACAGCAGTGTTCCTAGTCCCTAGTGGCCAAGAGGTGCTGCTTTTGTACAATTAAGACAAAAGGATTTTATGTCAGCAGGACTTTAGGGTTCTGATTCCATTGTATTTACCATGAAATACACTAACAGTAGGTTGGAGATTGGAACCTCCATTATAAGGCAGCATGACAGACAGCAGGACCCTAACTAGACTTTAAGAATGGAATCTATTCTGGTGGGGACCCACATAATTAAGTTTCACACTTATAGAATTATCACCCTGAATTAATAATAATAAAACCTCCACGGTTTTATCCTAGTACCGAGGTCTCTAAGCCAAGACAGACATTTCTCATACAGACTCAGTGTTCACTTGGCAAAATTTAAGTGGAAGTGCTCTGGGAAACAGCAAAATGAGCCTCATGTCCCTCATTATCAAAATAGAAAAAGTGAAGACAATTTCAGGAAAATTTCAGGTCTGATGCTGTTTGCTATACCGTGCACTGAAAAGACAAAACCCTGTTCAGCACTTTGTTTCCATCTCTTTGTGAAGCTACTCAGATCCCTTCTAGTTCTCTAAGTAAAAACACAACTGCCTATCCTGGCATCTCCAGACAATGGTAGGCAGATAAAAATTCCTAGTCTAACATGATTTTTCTGAATCAGCTGATTATCGTTCCACTTGAAAACTGTAATGTGCTCATACTTGAGCATAGCCTTCCTCCATCTAAGTATTGGCTAAATATTCATAATACACCTCTCCCCTCCCTCCCCCAACTCCCTACCCCAATTTAAAACCAATGTGTATTTTCAGCTACATTTTAATAGCAAGAGTAAATAGGTCACATTCCCCAAAGGAACAATCTATACAGAGTTGTGATAGGAGTGGCATATGAGAAAACATCTTTTATTCCCTCTGGACCTGACCTGAATCATACCTTCTGGTCACGGCTTTTATAGGTGGAGTATTAGTTCAGCAGGCTTCTCTCACTTTCTCTCTTCCCTCCCCTACGCCTTCATCCTCTACCCGCTTCTTTCACCTCCCAAATCAGTGTCTGATAGTCAACAAAAACTGAGAAAAGACTCTTAGCCAAGAAACAGACTCACCAAAGAATGGCCTTCTGTGTTCTGATCATTCTAGACCATGAGGGGCTTATGGGGCCATTAATACCATGTGTGCCATTAGTGCCCTTTTAGGTACACCAACAGCTGTTACATGCCCCCTCAGTTCCTTTTGACACTCTGAGTTCCAGAAATATTCTTGATCTTCTTCATTTACTCAACTTTAAACACTGAAATGCTCCAAAAAGCCATGCACATGTACATGACACTGTTAGGCTGAAAAAATAACGCCTCTGTCTCCTAGACCAAGTTGTTTGGGGCATGATCACAATAATCAGTTTGACTCCAAGTGCTGCCAAACACAAGCAGAAACAGGAAAGTTTCAGAGATGAAAAATGAGCTTAAAAAATTAAGATGGGACAATGCAAACCCTCAATTCCTGAAGACCAACAAATTATCAAAAATGGTTAACTAGCTGTGAAAGTGGTAATGAAGTAATCCTATTTCTGTGAAGGAAATTATTTTAAGGTCCACAGGACAAAACACAATACGGGGTCATTAAAAACCTCAGAATATTTCAAACATCTGTCTCACTGTGCCTGCGTCTTGCCCAACTTGTTCCCAAAAAAGGACCAGATTATCAGGTTCCCAACAAAGAAGACTCCTAAGACTTGTTATATTGGTCTTTGGGGAAACTGCATCTCCCAAAATAGTTTTTAAAAATTAAAATGAGCAAACCAAAGAGTACAATGATAAGCCACTTTCTCCTTCCCACTTTAATTTTTCTTTGATTTGCTCTTTGAGGATCAAGACAAAACAAAATCTTAAGTCTCTATATGTAATAATTACTGAATTAATCTCACCTCATCTCATGGCTAATGTGGCCAAGAGGTGCTGCTTTTGTACAATTAAGACAAAAGGATTTTATGTCAGCAGGACTTTAGGGTTCTGATTCCATTGTATTTACCATGAAATACACTAACAGTAGGTTGGAGATTGGAACCTCCATTATAAGGCAGCATGACAGACAGCAGGACCCTAACTAGACTTTAAGGAATGGAATCTATTCTGGTGGGGACCCACATAATTAAGTTTCACACTTATAGAATTATCATCCTGAATTTAGGAATAAGAGGCATTTGGTTGTAGATACAATTCCATCTGTAGATACTAACTTTAGAGACGAAAAACACTCACTGCATTAATATTATGGGTTGGAGTTTCTTAAGAGATTCCTAAATCCACCTATTGTTTTTTGTTTGGATACAATTTACAGCTATGGTATTAACACTACCACAGCCCTGGTAGGTGCAGTCTGTAGCTTCAGAAAGTCCATCGGTCGTGGAGCTGGCTGTCACTGCTAAATCTGTTGCTTGCAGAGGCCTCAGAGCTCTGGGTTTGCCGAGTACAGTCCTCACCATTTAAGCTCTTTCTACATACAGGACACGTGTCATGCTGAAACAGAAAGATATCAGTCCCTATAAAGAGCCTGACTTGAAAAACTGGGAGTATTAA